AGCTGGCTATGTAAAGCTCTCCAGGAATGAAAGGATATTTTATGGCAGAAAGGTAGAACTTTAAGAACAAATTGCATAATTGAATCACAGCTCAGAATTTTCCTGCAGGGCCTGGTTAACTGTGAATCTTTGAGCTCAGGACAGAACTGGGCTAGGGATGCCTCAGAATCCTGGGTAAACATTGACCCCCTGGTGTCTTAGAAGTGGAATTTAATTCACTGCTAATTAGTGTTGATTTTGGCTGAGGGGTGGGGGAGTGCAAATATGGAGACAAGGAACAGAGACTGAGAGCAGGGCAACACAAGGACGGGTGTGCTTGTTTGCACAACTGTTTTGGGGGAATTGAGAAGTGCAGAGGTCTTGAAAATAGAGCAGGGGTTCTTTCTCGTGCTTTTGAATAAAGTCAATTCTGCTGGAGGCTTCCTGCAAATAAAAACAGGGAAATGGAGCCTTTTTTATTCTGTCCATGGTCATTTAGACCCTGCTAGCCTCTCAATGGGAAACTATAATCTGGCTATTTTTATTGTCTATGGGCTGGAGCAAATGCTGGTCTGTAAATATTTTGAGGTTTCCAACTCAAATAGCCTCCGTAGGAATGTCTCTCCACATTTGAGGTATGCTGCCCGGGAACCTTAGAATGTTGTTCAAAAGCAGTAGGGAATTTCATCAAACCTGCAGCATTTAGTTTTCTAGCCAGAGGTGTTCTGGTTAGAAAAGTCCCCAACAAATAAACTGCCCTGTTTCGGGAGTACGTGCAGGACACTTAGAAAAGTTTTGGGTTTTCTGTTCGGTTATGTTTTAAAATTTTTGCCTTTTCTTCATCATAGAACAGTTGCTCATAATCTATTTTTTTTTCATCTGGAGGATTTTGTAAGAGAAATAGATCATTCCTCTCACTACCTTTAAAAATGTCTGTACAGCTCTGGCCTCCCCTGGTGGTGCAGGCGGTTGAGTGCAGCGCTGTGAAGCTGGCCCGTTAGATCCTGACCAGCGGCGGGGGAGGGTCCCACATGGCACAGCAGACCTCTCCTGTCTCGCTCACTGCTCCCTTCAGCAGTGTATTTTGTCAGTCTGCCTGTTCTGTTTCCCACTCTGTCTCTGGTGAATCCTCTCACCCTCCCGCGCATCTGGCCTGTACCCCAGTTCTTGTATAAATAATTCTTTAAAGAAAAAAATACAACATCTGTATAGCTCAAGTCAGCACTTAGAAACTCCACCTGGGGTGGGTGCCCAGAATCCTGAAATTCATAAGGTTGAGGACCTGCCCCCAGAAACCCACATTCCAGTAGGGGAGACAAACATAACAAGTGAAAAAAACACCAGCAGGATTTGAAGATGTTGAAGGAAAATGTAAAGTTCAAGCAGAGGGAGCTGAAATTTTCATTGGAGTTTCAGCTAGAAAAGAGAGTTTAAGCTAAATTTGAATAATAGAACTTTGTAGCTGACTGAGATGAGAAAAGGAAAAATATTGATCTCTTATTTAAAAAAAAAAGTGTGCTTCCCACCAAGATAAGCCTGTTTTCTTTTTTTTTTTTTTTTTAAAGATTTATTTATTTATTTGTTTGTTTATTTATTTATTTATTTATACAAGCACTGGGTACAGTCAGAAGCGCGGGAGGGTGAGAGAATTCATCAGAGCCAGAGCGGGGAGCAGAGCAGGCAGAAGGACCGAAGTACACCGCTGAGGGGAGCAGCGGGCGGCAGGAGAGGTCTGTGCGCCATGTGGGACCCTCCTCTGGTAGCCGGGGAGCAGCCGGGGATTGAACTGGTGCTGCAGAGGCTGGGGCAGCTTCGCAACCCAGCGCTCAACCGCTGCGCCACCGGGGAGGCCCAAGATAAGCCTGTTTTCATTCATTTACTCAGTGAACACATCTGAGTAGCCCTGGCACTGTCTAGAGACAGATGCATAAGACATCCTCCCTGCCAGAGGTGCCCTCACTGTCCAGGGAGGTAGACAGAGGTGGAAACACCACAGAAAGACAAAAGCATCTGGGGTGCATGGAATACTCTGACAGCACTGTGGACCCAGCAATTGAGTTTGGAAAGTTCCATGGGGAATGGGTGGAGCAGAGTCCAGGCCTCGGGAAGTCACGCATGAAAGCACAGAAGCCTGAATCAGCACAGGTTGTTCATGAGACTGAAGCATCTTGATATGTCTCAGATACAGAGCTGGAGTCTCAGAGTCTCTGACTGGGTCTGAACATTAATCTTACAAAGACAGATTAACAGGAAAAAAGCATACACGTTTATTTTCTATAAGTTGTACGTGACCTAGGTGCCTTCATAAGGAAATGAAGACCCAAAGAAACATTTAGATGAGAGTATTTTAAGCTAGGTGTGATGATAAGTGGGCAGTCAAGGGAGAATATGAAAGGTTCAGGACTAGGAAGTAAGTGTAGTAAACTGGGGGGACGCATGGCAGAGCCTGTTTGTTAGGATTTTTCCTGTGGCTCTTGTCTTCAGAGACACGAATGTTCCTCTCCTCCAGGCACAGAGAGGGCTCCTCTCATGTGAGAGTTTTATGACCAGTTTCAGGGGAGAAGTGGGGAAGGGGAAGGAGGCTAGCGTGACCTCGGGCTTAAAATATCCACTATTCCAAGGTGCCACCTTTTGGGGTAACATGTTCTGAATCTGTAACAGTGTAATCCAGAAAGGGAAGTTCCATGTTCCCTGCCCCACCCAATGAAGGGTAGGGCTGAGGATCCAGGGGAAGCTACAAAGGACTGCAAAGAGAAGGCTTGGAGGAGGCACATGGAGCAGAGAGACATATGAGGAAGAAGCTTCTTAGCCTTGGACTTGCACCGGGGACTTGGGGGACAAGGAAGGAGACATGAAAGAGATGTGGGTGAGAGACCTGTGGCTGACAATGGCAGCCTTTTTCCTGACTTATTTTTTGATTTTCTCCTTTCATTCCAGTCTTGCCTGGTCCCTTCTGGCCCTTTCCTGTGGTTCCCCACAAGATGGTGCCTCAGACTTGTGGCAAGATTTCAAGCCTCATTGGCCCTACTTGGGAGCCAAGCCTGTTTGGCAGGACTTTTACCCATGAAGGGATGGGTGTTACACTCGGAAACTATTATCCTTTCTTCTCTCTCTCTTTCTCTCTCTCTCTCTCTCTCTCTCTCTTTCTCTCTCTCTCTCTCTCTCTCTCTCTAGCATACTAGTTCTGTTGAAGTTCTTTTCTATTGAAGGTCTTACACACTAGGAGTGTGTTTTGTCTTTATGAAACAGATGTCAGAACCTACTTGGAGTGTGCAAGTTTGGGGGCATTCTGGGGTACCCCTCATTCTGCCCACTAACAAGCCCTTAGAGTATTTTAAGGGGGGCAAGTGGGAACTGGGAAGATGAAAAATGAGACTAGAAATAAAACCAACAACTATTGCTCTGTCTTGAAGTGCTTTCTAGAAGTGCAGTGGAGACTGAATTTTATCCTGTAGTCATTTTGATAAAGGATTTTAAACTAGGCAGTAATGCTGCATTTCAGAAAGATCCTGTGGATGGTTTCCTGGAGAATAAATTGAGCTGGGCAGGGTGGGAAGCAGGAACGCCTCCTGGAAGGCTGCCTCACACATGAGGTACAGGGTGGGACTGTCCCTCATCATCCACCACATGCAATTCAAAATTCAAGCAAAGCTAACCTAAAATGAGTTCAATAAAATCCAAGTTCTGATTTTTCTTTTGATGATTATTTAGATACAGTGGGAAAAAAAAGGTCAAATATCAAAATACTTAAGACTTTTATTGCTTCCTCTCTTTGATGTCCTTGACCTGTTGGTGTCGTGAAGCACGAACAGCTCTGGCCTGGCCCAGGAGAGGTGGAAGATGGGGTGGCAGTGGGTGGGGTGGTGTTGAAGTAGTAGGGTGCACAGGACTGGGCTAGGGGAAGAGAAGCATAGGACAGCACCTAGATTTCTACTACGTACTGTTCCCGCACCTGGCAGCAGCCCTCTCCAGGCAGGCACGCCTCCAGCAGCTGTTCCTCCTGCAGAGACCCTCCATCTCTGGCCTCAGCCCAAGTTCCCACAGGTATCTTTATTTTTTTTTAAAGATTTATTTATTTATGCATACAAGAACTGGGGTGTAGATCAGAGGTGCAGGAGTTGAGAGGATCCACCAGAGACAGAGTGGGGAACAGAACAGGCAGACTGACTGAAATACACTGCTGAGGGGAGCAGCAGGCAGCAAGTCAGGAGAGGTCTGCTGCACCCTGGCCAGGGGATCGAGCTTGTGCAGACAGCTTCATAGGTTACATCTTAACCCCTTGCACCACCAGGGAGGCCCAATGTATGCTCTTAGCCTTAAGTCAGGAAGGCCTCTGTGATGAATAGCCAAAATAACAACAACAGTTCAAACACGAGCCCCAGTCTTATTTCAAACCTCTCCTTGTGGACAAGCGGGTAGCGAGCAGCCAGCCCTCAGCAGGTCCCTCATCCCCTTCCTTACGTGCTCAAAGACCCCCACTTGACTGAGCACGATGATCTGGATGCTCTCAAAAATGTTTATCCCTTCCCCGTGCCCAAGAGCTCATGGTTGCTCCCCTACACACCCTTTATGACGATAGGTAATATATAAAGTTAAAACTGAAGTCGCACAGGGGGAGGGGAGCGGCGGAGAACCCCGCGGAATCCTTCGAAGGCCACCCCTGCGCCCTGGCGCTCGGGCTGATCTTGCGCTCTCGTGCATTTAAATAATATCTTGTCTCTAGAGCTCCAGCCCGGCTCGTGAGCTGCCCCGTGGGAGGGGAGATCCTCATTATCCACTCTCACCGGCTTCTTTGGGGACTTTTTTTTTTTCCCAGCCAGAAATACCAGGTCATTAGCGCGCCGTGGAACACTGTGTGATTCTCAGAACAGCTCCCAGCCCTCGGGCTCCCTGGTGGGCGACACTCACGCAGCCTCTCCAACATTGTGTAATCGCTTCTTCAATCAGCCCCAAATCCTTCCCGCTCTGGGGGAGGAAGCGCCTCTAATTACATTTGCCTTTCTCTTCTCCAGTCGCCAAGGTCCCTCGAGAGCTGCTGCCGGGTCCTACCTGGAGCGGTGAAGGCACAGCCCAGAGGTCAGGCCGTCCCCGGAGCCCACCTCGCTTTCCCCAGCCAGGTAGGCCTGTGCGGACGGTCCCTCGGTGGCTGCAGGCCTTGCTAGTTATGTCCCTTCCGATGGAAGGTTCTGGCGGTTTTTATTCTTCAAGTCACCTCTGGAGTGACCTCTTGCACCTACATCATTTACGCATTTCCTACCTCCCGGGAGGGTTTTCTGTTTCCCATTAAGATGGAGAGTTGTTTGATTAAAAAAGAAGCAACTTACTCTTTGATCCTGGTTTGCTGGAGATATACACCCATAGAGAAAGGCAAATGCCCTTTGTTACCATTTTCTTTCCTGAGAGAGATGCTGCTTTTACGTGGGCTGCGTTGCTCTGAGGAAATGTTTTCTGTGAGGTGAGTTGAGAGACTGTCCTTTATGGAAACTGGACAGGGAGTTTGTCTTGTGTTTGCCCCTGGTTTGTCCTAAGTCAGCCTCCTAAGAATTTTGTTGTTTGTGACAACAGAAGGAAAAGAGGCAACAGCTGAGGCAAAAGTGACTGTGGAAATTAAAAAGGTTGCTTTTTCCCTGTGGAATGCAAGATTTGCATTTAAATGTGTATGTCTTGAGATCAGTGTATTTGAGATCTTTCTCAAATTACACCAGTGTAATAAGATAAAGACATCACAGCTTCGGTAGAAAGGAAGGGCAATGCTGCTGCTGAATAAATAAAGGCTTTTTGGAGGTGGAGAGCAAGGGCAAAGTATTTTGGGAACCCTGGACAAGTCATGTGCCCTCTGGGCCTTTGTCTCCTGAACCACAGGGTGAAGAGGTGGAAGGAGAGGAGTGCCGAAATGTGTCCTTTTCTGATGTCCCACAATTATGTAATTCTTAGTTTTAGTCATTTTGGACAGTTAGGGCCATGCCTAGTAGGCAAAAATAAATACAAGTCTGAAAGGGGAGATAGTGATTAAGAATATGCACTAGAGGGCCTCCCTGGTGACCTAGGGGTTAAGTCTCAGGGCTACCACCATGAGGGCCTGAGTTAGTTACTAGCCAGGGAACTAACCCATATGGTGGAGCACATCTCCTGCCTCATCCCTGCTCCCCTCAGCAGTGTATTTCAGTAGATCCGCCTGTTCTGCTCCCCACTCTGTCTCTGGTGAATTCTCTCAACCCCTCTTTTACACAAAAATAGATAAATAACATCTTTTTAAAAAACCAAAACAAACAAAGAAAAAAGAATATGCATTGGAATGGAAGATGTGGGCAGAAAGGTAAGTAGCAGACAGGGAATGGGAATGGCCTAGAATTAAGAGATTATATTTAATCCAAAATCATGGTCAAAGTACCAGAAAGAAGGATTTTGAGGCAGCTAACTGGGTAGTGTGCAATAAGTGAATATTTTCTGGTGTAACATTTTTGGCAATTCATCTAAGAAATCAGTGCCTAGCCCAAGTCCCTTAAGAAGTATGCCTTTATTTTCTTCTAAGAGCTTTTATAGTTTTAGCACTTAACATTTGGACCTTTTGTGCATTTTGAGTTAACTTTTGATTATGGTATAAGGTAGGGGGTCTAGCTTCATTTTATGCATGTTGATAGTTCTTTATTTTTTAACTATATATTTTGACTTATTTTCTGAGTGGTTGCTCTAGAATTTACAGTACACATTTTAAGTTTTTTTTTTTTTAATTTTTTTTATTTATTTATTTTATTTATTTAATAGAGGCATGTTTTATTATTTATTTATTTGTTTGTTTTTTTGTTTATACATGCACTGGGTACAGTCAGAAGCGCGGGAGGGTGAGAGAATTCACCAGAGCCAGATCGGGGAGCAGAGCAGGCAGAAGGACTGAAGTACACTGCTGAGGGGAGCAGCGGGCGGCAGGAGAGGGCTGCGCGCCATGCGGGACCCTCCTCCGGCGGCCGGGGAGCAGCCGGGGATCGAACCGGCGCTGCAGAGGCTGCGGGCAGCTTCGCAACCCAGCGCTCAACCACTGCGCCACCAGGGAGGCCCCACATTTTAAGTTTTAATCACCTAGTTTAGATTCACACAAACTTAATTTTTTTAATTTATGCCCCTGCTCTCAGGGACAGCTTGTGAGGACACTTGGCTCCCAAATGAAATGGAAAAAGTAGGAAGTCAAGGACCCGGTTAAGGGCTGCAGATCTCAGGTACTCAGGATAGTAACAGTGGTCAGGAGTAATCAAAGAGTGCTTCTAGAAGGAAATAGGGAAGGAGCCATCTTCACAGGATGGGACTGATTTATAGAGGAAAAAGGGTAAAATTGTGGGTGTAAACAGGAGCCACTTAGGACACAGATATTCTAGATATGGCTGGGAGAGATGTTGGATTTTTTAAAAAAATAAAATGGTTCCTGGAAAAATGTAGGCACTTGGTAAAGGACAACTAGTAATTTCTATTATTTTGGGGAATTAGAGGGAGACAAAACTGTGTGTAAAACTCTCCTGAGTTTCACCTCTAGGTCCACACCTACTCCTTTGATGTCCTTTCTCCTTCCCTAGGTTGACCTCTAATTCTGCTGTTAGAAACCCTTCAAACCTGGCTTTCTGAGTTGTTTGTGCAGGAGAGAAGTAATTGGGTTGTAATAGTTGGGCGTGTCCACGTAGGCATAGGCGTTTTTTAATAATCTCACCCATGTGAGTATGACAAAGGTCCAGAAGGGGGCAATGTGGCACTTGGGCTTCAGGAGGGTTTTTGTTTTTTAAATAAATGTTTTGGGATTCACCCTCTACTGTAAAAACCTCAGAAGTGCAGGGCTGGAGTGATCTGTAGAAGCTGTGGATGGGGTCCAGCACTGTCGCTGGCCGGAAATGTCACTGAAGCCCCGAGAGGGGGGTGGCCTTGCTCACCATCACACAGGCAAGTGTGGCAAAGCCAGGACCTATCTCTAATGCTCACCCTCAGCCAGTGACCTCTGCGTTGGCATGGCCCTTGACATTAAGAAAATTTGAATTCTGTATGTCAAAGAATGGGGGGGTTCTGATAGAGAACTTGAGGTCCCAGGAGAGCAAAAACCACCTAAGCCATCTCTTGGTTTGGTACCTGCAACCATCACGTAGTGGATGATCCATCTTTTGTCAGTGGTTTGAAATGCCATCTCGAGCACAATATTCAATCTTCAAATCTATACAGATCTTACATTTTTTTCCTAATGTTTGTTCTTCTAGTTGAAATTGCTATCGCATGCTGACACCTCTTCATTTCTTCACATTTGCTAACTCCTCTTCTGTCCCCCGCCACCACGGCCTCTCACTTGCCTCTGACACTGCGTGAATAGTTAAGAATCCTCAGATGTGTGGCTTATGCTGCGTGAAGGGATGGCTTACAAGGCAGGGGAGGCTCTTAATAAAGGTTTCAGTTCCTCTTGAACTTACTGTGATGGGGAAAGTAAAAGCTTCTGTTCCCTGCAACAGTTTTCCTTTCCTGTGGGCACCGCCCTCCGACCTCCTGCCCAGTGGGACCCTCCCAGGGATGTGCTCAAGTGGAGAGGGGAACCCGTGTTTCCTGGCAGCCCCTAAAGCCATCCCCCAGCCACTGCACAGACACCAGAGTTGAAGAAAGTTGTAAGGCCGCAAAAGAGCAGTTTCCGCTTTAACTTGCAAATATTTTTGATCCCCTAAAAATAAGCCATGAGCTGTAAATAGGCACGAGTGTTCCCGAACTGTTTCCTAACTTAGTTACTTCAGAGGCAACGTAGAGCTCATTTTGTTTTTCTGCTTAAGGCCACCTGCTCGTGATTCAATACATGGCCCCATTTGGTATCGTCATGCCTGTCCGTATTGGCTGCGAGGCAGACATACTCCCTCAGAAAAGACGGGAGATTTGTGTTTTGGAAATTTATTGTCAACAAGATTAAAATTGTTATGGGGAAGGGCCTGAATTTCTGCCATCTCTACCGAAATGTGACTCCACTCTCGTCCTCAAACAGATTATAAGGTTTACTCATCAATCCCCGCCCTCATGGTGGAGACACTCAGGGCAACTTTCTTGACTGACTTAAGTTTTGTGTTCTGTTTGTTTTAATCTATAAAAGGGAGTGACAGTACCTCGCCTCACCGGGCTGTCATTTATTCTTCCAGGATTCATCTGCAATGTGGCCCCTTGTTTGATCTAGTGAATGTTAACAGTCATCTCAGGCACCTCGTAGAAAAATCTTTAACAGTTAACAGTTACAAAGGTACAAATGGTACAAAAACATTACAAATCTCCACATGCTCATCACCCAGCTTCAAAAATGATCTATTTATGGCCAATATTGTTTCATTTAAATTCCTGTCATTTCCTCCACTCATGGTAATTCTGAAGCAATTTCCAGAAATATCATGTCTATGTTTGATCCCGTTTAAAAATTAAATCTTTGTCATTTTCAGCTATAGTTATCATCTAATTTACTTTATTTTTCTTTTAAAGTTTTTATTTGATTAGCAAAAAAATCCCAAATACCAGCAATTATATAATGATTTAAACATATAAATAGGATAAAACTAAAGTTCTCTTAAATGTATTCCAAGGCTGTTTATAAAGTTCAGTTTCAATTTAAAAACACAACTCTAAATTGAGTATTTAATTCTTCATAATTCTTCATTTTAAATTGGAATCACAAAACTAATTTGTTACTTTATTGTGCCAAAATTTTTTTCATGTTCGAGTACATAAAATACCAATTTCATATAGGTTTATCAAAACAAAATTGTTAATACTATGGAATTTGTGTCTCTTAAACATTTCCTCTTTTCAACATTACCTTTTCCCAAGGTTCAAAGATAATTAATTACTAAATAATGGCTATGTAGTCCTAGACCCTACCCAGTGTCCTACATTTGTGGATTAAAGTCAATCTGTTTTCTCTTATTCTATACTGCATTGTTTCCATAATTTTAAAAAAAGATTTATTTTCTATTTATTTATGCATACAAGAACTGGGGTATAGACCAGAGCTATGGGATTTGGGGGTGAGAAGATTCACCAGAGACAGAGTGGGGAACAGAACAGGCAGATCTACTGAAATACACTGCTGAGGGGAGCAGCGGGCGAGACAGGAGAGGTCTGCTGT